TGTTTTGGCATGGTTCATCCACCAGACTATGTCATTTTTTGCTGTTTCAGACAACATCATAGGACTTTCAAAATTCCAGTTGGAATTTTTTAGAGCAGTTGATTTTTCAATCTCAAGTTGTCTGTAAAAAAGTCTAGCATACTCTACACCAGGGAAAAAGATACCATAATGCCCACTAAACGAGCAACCAGTCTAACAGGAACAGATGTAGATTGCAATACCTGATGTGCTGAGGCAAGTAGCTTGCCAAAATTGTGATCTGTTATGCTAACAGACATGTCTAAGGAATTTAAAATAAAACCCAGATGTTCAAGGATCTGTGTAGGTTGGACAACTGATTTAGCCAAATTAGGGCAGAAACCCAAGTCCCCTAAAAGGGTTAAGGTATCCTGGACATTGGATGAGCAGGCCACACTAGTGTCTCCTTCTAAAAAGGAGTCGTCTAAATACCCACTAGAAACATGTCCTTTGAGTCGGAGGTATGCATACACAGGTTTGAGTAATTTGGTGAACACTCTGGGAGCACAGGCAAGGCCCTGCGCAAGGCAAGTAAACTGATAAAGCTTTCCTTTCCATAAAAACTTAAGATATTTTTGATGTGACCGGTCAACAGGTACAGAAAAATAAGCATCTGAAAGATCAATAGATGCCATAAAACACCCAGGTTTCATCAAGTGAACACAGGTTTCAATATTATCCATCTTAAAATGATGGTAAGCAATAAAGCGATTGAATTCTTTCAAATTCAGAATCATTCTGAAACTCCCATTTTTCTTAGCTCGGAGAAAAACGGGGGATATGAATTCGGTGGATTCATGTTGGGACTCAACAATGATACCCCTAGACAAAAAATTTTGAATCTGCTGATCTAAGGCCACTGCTGCCTCAGTATACAGAATGGTAGGTCTAACTCTACCTAGTTGAACAGGCTGTATGTCATAAAACTCAAGTTTGTAGCCCTGTACGATGGACAGAATAGTTCTGTCAGAGGTAATTTCTTGCCACTTGGCCAGAAAATTCTTAATTCTTCCACCAGTAATAAGGGTGGGTACAGAGCTTACCTTAGGTTGAGTCATGACTGTTTCACAGTCTGTTTCATTGTTTTCGTCTCGGTTTTGCGAGGTTCCTTCCTGTATGAGGGGTGATTGCTCCTCTGATAGCCTCTGCCATGGTTGCTGTACTGGTTGAAGGGGCGCTGGTTGCGCCCCCCTTGGCCCAAAAAAGACCGTGATGGCCCTTTATACTTGAGAACTTGGCTTGTTGGATCTTGTAAGCTGTTTGGCTGCTTTGTTACTCTCGGTAACTGTTTTCAGCCGTTCGGCTAGGTCGTCACCAAACAGTTCACTTCCAATTGGGTGCTTGTTATTACACAAGGCCTTGTAGCTGTCATCTAAATCTGTTTTGAACAAGTCACGGCGGCAAATATTCAAGCTGTGGTTAGCCGCCGCTACAAGAAGAAGGGAATTGATAGAGCTTCCCATAGGGTCTCTTTGGTTGGCATTGCAGCGCCTGAATCCAAAGATTCACCCACTTTTCCTGTCATGTCTGCAAGAGGAATAAGCCCTTTAATCAGGGTGTCTTGCAAAGCTTGAAGTCTAGCATCCATGCTTCGTGTTGGCTTTTTAGCGATGTCCCAAATCTCGGAATTGACACGAGTTTGGGCAAGTAATGTGCTGTTTGTGGGCCTATGAATGTTCTCTTTTCGCCGCTTAGTGGCTTGATCATTAAGACCACTGGCGAGGATGTTGTTAAGAACGTTTGCGATTTTTTCCGAAATCGCTGGCCCCGTGACTTCGTCCTCGGTCACTTCGGTGACAAGTGAATCCACTTTGCCAGTAGTATCTGTCGTTTTGGAACGGGGTTGTTCGTCCGGTTGTGGCGTGATTCTGGGTCGCTTTGGCGGAGGCCCTTCCTCATTCTCGCTTTCAGCCAACGAAGGAGCGTCGACATCATCCACATCTTGCAATAGCCAGGCATCGTGAGACTCTTGTAAAGTTTTGACAACGGGCACCATGTCTTGCACGAGGCTTGTCAATAGGTCGAGTTTGTGGAGAAGCCTAGCTTCTCCCTCGCCTTCAGCAGAGTCAGCAGCCTGACTCGTGTTTGCGGCAGATGTGGATTGTTGTTTTGGAGATCGAGACGATCCTGTAAGCGTAGTTCCTTTGTTTGTCAAATTCGGCGAATTTGACTCGGTCAGTGACTCCTTGGTCACATCAAGGATTTCATCAAGTACGCCGGAACCCGGCGTAGGCATTTTTAGTGAATGAAAAAAACACGGCAGTTATAAACTTTGCTTCGCAAAGATTGCCGATGTATGATAAATAAGAAATATAACTTTACGATGGTGAAGATAGACACCGGATTGTGATGGGCTAACAGACCAGCCTTGCCAAAATGGCGACGCAAGCACAAAATTGACCAGCTATGCGCATGCGCTATCTCATGGAATCTCTGCTGCGATGACCTGGTAGAACAGCTTAAATCAACACGGATTATGGATAAAACTGGTGTGAAACGACTACCTTTTTTGCAATTGAATAAGTTATGTACAGTAAACCACAATAAAAGGGAGAGCCCACAAGATACAAATTAACGCTTGTCGTTTGCCATAAACGTTGCTATAAATTTCTCTATTAACTAAACGCCTGATTATAAACCTCTGTGTTATGCATAATTCTTCATATCACAATCACTCGCATTAAATTGCAGGTAGCTCAAGCTCGAAATATGAGCATTGGCATTGTTGGGTAACATTCGAAATACAACGGAAATATAACGATTTGTAAGTTTCTGTAACGTACGAAAATAAAAGGATTTCTATCCAAAAAATAACTGACCTTACTTAAAATGTGTGTTATTTCTCTCCTGTGTGGTCCACGGCCGATTTATGGCTATTTTATTGGTAGTAATGTAAGTGGTTTTCTTCTCTGATATATTATACGGAGAAAACCGTTTACATTACATCAAGAAACGGCCATAAATTGGCCCCTCATAGGTTACCGAAACGATAGTCTTTTTTTCTCATTTAACTCCTTCTATTTCCGTCTTATTTCGAATTTTTACGCCACAATGCCGATGCTCGTATTTCGAGCTTGGGCTACCTGTGATAGTGTGATGGTATCTTACTATCACCCTGAGGCCACCCAGGGTCGGCCAGGGCTCATGATTTTACGATAAACAACATTCACGTTCCTTGAAATCAGGTGTAGGTCTCTTTAAACTATAGGTATATTGAAAAATGAATACATTGGTCATTTTAGTGGTTTTTTACTTTTATACGTTGGTATACTTTTCCTTCTTGGCCCACCGACCTTGGCCACTGGTCAACGGTACACTCTAATATAACTCCCCTAGTGCATGAATCCCACCAACGGACAGCTTGTTAAAAATAAAAAACAGCAAAAACAATTCTTCACCTCTGAAAACAAAAAAAGCAAAACAAAGAAACGAAAAAAGAAACATTTAAATATTGCACCTTATTTCAGACAACTACCCTTGTTATTTGAGTGGCAAAACACCGAATTTTCTTTTCAAGTCAACTCGTTAATGATCTTATCTATAACCCTAACCCTAACCTTCACCGCGCTGGCACTGCTCTTGATAATTGTTGCGTGCAGTCAGTCGTCCAGGAAAATACCAAAGGCTAGTTTATAATGGACATAAAAGGGTGCATGCCGTTAAGTTCCAGTCTGTGAGTCTGCCAAATGGAATCATTGCCAATCTTTTTTGCCCAGTAGGTAGGAGTGAATTTCTACTACATACCTCAGCTAACTAATGTTGCTACATCACTCCCCTTTGTAAACACCAGTGATTTTAATATTTTTTAAATTAACTGTTGGCAAAGATTTTTAACAAAAGAGTTTTTAACAAAATAGAAAGGCATTGCTTGGGAAGCATAAAGTCTTGAAGTTAACTGAAAGATAACAATAGATGAAGAAAAAATTGACCAGCTGTCATGATCGAGTGTACATGTACCCTCAGAGAACGTAGCCCATTAGGGTCCTTTGAAGGCAACTATGATTATCATGTCTTATGTTTTAGAACATGTGACCTGTGTGACATATATTCATCATTGCATGATTTTTTTCTTTTCAGAGGGGAAGATGCATGATGCAGCTATATTGGCAGAGTCAGGTTTTCTGCGTGATTTAAACATGTATGCAATTTCACCAATGGGCGTACCCCTCTGCATATATGGTGATCCAGCATATCCATTAAGGATACATTTGCAAGCCCCATTCAGAAACACAGCAAGGCTCACTCAACAAATGGAGTTGTTCAACAAGTCAATGAGTAAAGTGCGAATGTCAGTGGAGTTAATTTTTGGGGACGTCATAAATGATTTTAAATTTCTTGACTTCTAGAAAAACTTAAAGATTGGTTTGAGTTCTGTAGGAGAAATGTACATTGTAGGTGCCATATTACGGAACTGTCTGACATGCTTATATGGTAACCTAACAGCTGAATATTTTGATGTTCAGCCACCAGTTTTGGAAGACTACTTACGCTAACTATGGAAGACTACTACATAGACTGAGTAAGGTCTAAAAGACATCAATAAGAAAGAAACTTTGATTCATTTCCTTGGTCTTTTTTGTAATAAAAAAAGTAGAAAGAATTTTATTAGACCATCATTAACAACGTTAACATTATTGAATATGAGGTTATTCTAGCTAACCTGGCCTAATCGTGTTAGTGTCTTTTTTGCCATATATCTGAACACGATAAGTTTTTATCAAATAAGCTTTCAGGAAATACCATAGGCAGTTCACTCAAGCACAATAATTAATATAATTTCATTGCCATCCAAAAGAATTTATCACAGGCATAAAAATATCTCACAACAAGACAACAACTAGATTGCACTGACATAACCATAGAATATTTTGTTTTTCATGGTTGTTAGGAAGAATTAAATGACAAGTTCTTCATCGGCTCAGAAAGAGAAAAAAAATACTTTTTTCTAGTTTCTCGAAAAGTTTCAAGAAAAGTTCAGCCTGCTGTTGTTGCTGTTGCAACACTTGCAAAACATCATTGTGTTTTTTTTTTTGTTCAAGCTCCAACTGAGCCTTCCTTAGCTCAATCTCTTCTGCCCTCCCCTGTCTTTCTTTTTCGCTCTTTTCCAGCAGGTAGGCCACGGTCTCACTTACAGCAGAGCGTTTTCTTTTGGGTTGTTTGCAGTCCACAGAATTTTCTTTTTCATCCTCTTTCCTTCTCTTTGTGGTCCCCAGACTCTCCATGGCCAGCTTCCTTACCTCTTTTGCCTTTTCCCTCTCTGCCATGTCATCTTTCCTATTCATGTTGTTTTGGTGGATTTCGTCACAAGCATCCTCTTTCTCAATGAGATATTCAAGTGCCTCTTCTACTTCTGATCTTGTGGGCGAAATGCCACTTGCCTTTTCTTCATTTTTTATTTTCATTCTCGTCCTTTCTGCAAGGAGGTTATATCTGTAACAAGAAGTAAAGGATTTTTTCAGTTTCACAAAAAATTCCCCTCACAGGTAAGCTAGAACAATCTATCTTTGCAAAGTGGTTTGTGTGGCACACCTAGGGCATTTAAAGTTAAGTACATTCCATTATATTAATTGCGTTTTCGTTTTTTGTTTTGTTCACTTTTGGGCATGATATAGAGGTAATTTCTTTTAAATAATGTGTGATCCTACCTGTCTCTTACCGCCCTTTTGTCTACTCTAAATGGGACATCGATATCCTTTACAGCAACAAGGGCTTCAGCAATTGCTGCCCACTTAGCACTCCTCTGAGTGGTTCACTTTTTTATATCGGTAAATGGGTCAGTTATAATTTCTCTGCATAACAGTATATCATACTTTTCTGTCCACACCATGTTCCTTTTGACACTAAAACGAAAAAGCAAACAAAAGTTTTATTCTATGCAATATAATCACAGTCTGGCTGGCTGGGTCAAAAAAAATAATGGCATATGTAGAATAGTACTGAATTTGTAAGTTTCCTTTTCTGTTAATCATAACACTGCAAATTCCCCGACGAAAATCAAATGCCCAATTGCAATGCAATTAATCCAGTGGTTTGTTATTGCACCATAACGTAACCTAAAATGAATACACTAGAAAAGAAACGAAAGTCATAATGCTTACACACATAAAGGTATGAATTACATTCATGTACACTGAGTAGTTTACAACAGTTGTAAAAAGTGTAATTTGTGTAAATTATAATCTACTCGTGCGGTTGCAAGAAATAGCTAGCCACTATAAAATTTCCGCCCACGATCTTTATAAAATTTCGGACTGCTAGATCCAGGACTTTTTTCGCTCGGCCAAACAAATGCGCACGTGTAGTTTGGTTCGCATTTCCAAAATGGTGGACGCCGATATCAGTTCTTTGCGTATTGATATAGAGGACTTTGAATTTATACCGCTGCACGAGTACGTCTGATAATCAAAAAGTTTCCAGGAAGAAACACATTTTGAACTATAGGCAAGAGCAGTTATTTGTCCCAGAAGGGCACTGTTCGTGCGTTTTATGGGAGACAACTTCAATAGTGGAGGGACAGGATGAGCGGGAGAAGTCCGTGGGCATTGCGTTGTTCAGTGGAGCCCCACACACTGAGCCATCTACATGGGAACTTGGAAATGCTCTCACTATCCTACAATGCTCTGTTTCCAAGGATGATGTTGAAATGAAGAGCTGTGTGGTGATTACTGCCGAGAAAATAAGGGGATCGACTCTACTATATCCTTTACAAGGGAGCACAATGGTAAATTTCTTAGACAAACACAATGAGAATCCGAATAATGAGGAATATTTTATTTTTATGTGGGGGGGTCTTAACACAAAAACTATTAACTGCACTTCAGAACTTGTTGAACTCAAGGTATCAAAAACTGGGGAGCCAAAAAGGATTTGAACTGGGAGAAAGTGCACTAATGCAAGCAATGAAAAATTTAAAAAAGTCCTTCATTCAGTGTAGATGCAACTATTTTTGCTGGATTAGAAGCTAGAGTTTTGGGCCGTAGTCAAATAAATAAACAAACTGGAGCCATTCCATCTGCAAGGACTGGTCATTCACCCACTATGGTGTCTGACCATTATGCTGTGTTGTTTGGTGGGGTAGTAATGGAGCAAAGAGACAATGGTGTGTTCAAGCAGCAGACATGCAAAGATGGTGAATTGTATATTCTTGACTTAAAAAGAAAGAACTGGTCTAGTCTTGCTTCAACTAATGGTGGAAAATTACTGGCTCGTGCTTACCAGACCGGACCTTTTGGGTCAACAAGTAACACTCTTTTCATAATTGGAAGGGTTCAGCTGCCTAACCCTGAAATAAACTATCATTGATTAAACTCAGTAATTCTGCTTTCCTTATTTGTGGCGGGACAAACAAGGAGATACTATTGTTCACTAGCTTAATGCCAGCAGCAGATGCTCGTGATCTTAATGACAAGTGCATCATAAACACAACTGGTGTTACATTTCCAATTCCCTGGCTTAAATGTGATGGAATATGTAAAAGATGGATTCATCAGGCCTGCAGTGGCATAACCATAATACCGAAAGATAAATATTTTTGTAAGGACTGTAAAAGAAGCAGGAGAGATTGAAGACACTATTTTTATGAGGCATGGTTACAATACTGGAAAAATGTAAATCTCTGACTAGTTATTATTGATATTTTACAACTTAATTTCTGGAAAGTTGTTTGTAAATTGGCTCAACTGTTCTACTGGATTTCGCTGGGCATGACATACAGTTATGTCCCATTTGATTACATAAACTACACTTGTATTTCCTCCTAGAAACATGACTAAGTTTTCTTAGTTTACGACTGCAGTACAGCCAATGAACTTTTAAGACATCTGTAACACTGTGTAAGGTGCTACCCTTTCTGGAATGATTCTTTCGTAAGTGTCTGAAAATTTTGTTTCCTGCCTCATTGCCCTCACCTATGGCGTACATTTGCGGACAAAAATAATTGAAAATAAAATACAATTTGAAGTTCAAAAATTAGACTATCCATGTCGAAATCTCGTCATATGAATTTGAAATCGCAATGAACGCAGTCGAAATGGCATCATTCGAACTTGAAGTTACTTTGAACAAGTTGAAACTTTTCAGGAAAAACTCGACATCGCGGATGTTGAAGTTCAAATCACCATTCCAACTAAAATGCAAATTACATGATTTGAACTTCAATTCACCTTCTCCACTCTAATAAGCCACTTAATCGTCAACAATGCAACCATAATCTTCCACAAAATTCCAAATGAAACCTTCAATTTGAACTTCACGTCATGCAACATATTCGAATTCGAAAAACCAAAATTTCAATTCGAAAGGAAGCGGAAGTAAAAATACACAGGAACCGAGTAACGACTAGGTACGAGTCTACAGATGGGAGGCTTGGAACCTGAGCTTTCCTCTTAAGCTTTCCTCATCTCTGATCATCGTCATGGCTGCTCGATGGCTACCTAACAACGACGAGTTTTTCGATGGACTGGTTAGACTGTTAGAAGTATCAGAAAGTAATCTAAACTCAACATCATATGATAATTGTGAATTTTTATTTCGTCGACTTGATGCTCACGAGAGAACTTTGTCAACTCTGCTTAGTAGAATTGAATATACTTATCAAGGAATCGCTGAAGCAGTGAATGTTATTCGTGACTTACAAACCTTATTGAATCGAACATCAAACTTTAGAAGCCATTTCCAAAGACGATTTTTCCTTAGTGTTGAAAGAGAAGGGAATGAATTGACGCCATTAACTACTAACCTACAAAGAGATCAATATGGAGGTCGTGGAAGACCAAAACATCATGTATCTCGTGATCAGCTCCAGGCACTTAATGTAGATGCGGGGTTTAGTTGGAGCGAAATTGCTAGAACTTTGGGAATTTCGGAAAGGACATTGCGTAGAAGGCGCCATGAACTTGGTATGTCTGTAGAAGGAAGGGTGTTCCCCAATCTTTCTGACAATGAATTAGATGATTATGTTCGTCAAATACTAACGGTGACACCTGGTGCAGGCCTGAGGATGGTCCAAGGAGCATTAAAGCAACGCAGTCTAGAAGTACAGAGGGATCGTGTTCTCCAGTCACTACGCAGGGTTGACCCTGTGACAACTTCATTGCGAAATGGTAGACAGATTATTAGAAGAACGTACAATGTTCCATGCCCCAATGCACTATGGTAAGTAAGCGTTAGATGTATGGATAAGCACTTTTAATTCCACATCAACACCTGTCCATTTGAAGAACCTGTTGGTAGGTCCTCTGTTATATATATTAATAGAGTGGGGTGGGGTTGAAATCAACTATCTGGTACCTTTTAGGGTGGGTTAATTGGTACTTAGTTCCTTCATTAGTGATTAAGAACAGAGGAAAAAGGTCTGGATTGAGAAGACTTCCTGTCTCACACTCTTGAAAATATGTGAAATTCTACATTATGGACTGATCAATAGGCTATTAATATTTGCACAATGGCGTCATTTTACTACTATGACCAGAATGCTTTTCATTTTCCTTTCATATTTAAATTTTGTAATCCTAGTGATGTTTACAAAACAAAAGCCTTTATTTGCACAAGAAAGCAAAACCCTGAAGGATTCTGGTCGTAGTAGTAAAATGATGTGATAGTGCAAATGGCCTATTCTTACATCACAGAGGGAGGCCTAGTTTTTAGAGGGGATACATTTTCCAAACATTAGATGACTTGAGGGATATTATTATTGGGGGACATTTTGCGACCCTGAGAATTTGGAAAAAAAATACCCCCCATTTCTGATCGGAGTCCAACCTGGTAGGTCCATCCCCTTGAGCAAAATATTATCTAGTATGGCCCATCTACTGATATGTATTTTCATATGTTTATTTTTTATTTCAAGCCTTTAAATTACTGATATTGTATAGAAATCGGTTGAGACTATGAGCTATAGAGCATGACAAATTTGCTCTTCATTAATATTGAAAACAGTTTCTGGGAGCATCCTTAAGAGGGAGATAAATTATTATTCCCTCTTGCGTTCATTATTTCATTGCAGGCACATAGACGGAAATCACAAATTGATAGAACCGTACCGAATAGTAATACATGGTGGCATAGATGGCTTCTCCAGATTGGCCGTTTATCTAAATGCGTCAACAAACAACAGAGCCACAACTGTATTTCCCTAACCCTCAATATATGCTTTTTGTGGTTAGCTCTATCAAATGTGTTAACTCAAAGTGGATACGTCTTCATAATCCATTGTTGAAATATAAATAGGAACATTAGGGAATATTAGCATATGCACTCAGTATATGATTGCAACATGATTTATTTTGCACTTTAGAATTAATTGGCTCCAGTTTACAAAACAGTACCTAGCCGGGATAAAAAAGAAAAATTTCGCAGAAGCTTATTACCGTTTTTGAGACAAGTATATGTAGAATGAAACTGTATAAATATGATAGGAAACTAGTAGTCCCCTTTTGACTTTTTTAAAACGTCTTTTTTTTTTCTGGAAATTTTCGTTATCGTTATTTCTTTTTGCCACTTTAGGCCTAAAGTAATATGATTTACTATCATATTCTACATGATATAAACTTTTAAAAAATGTATGTTTTGTATATGTTTTTCCAAAATGACTAGTAAGTTAATTTTTGTAAGATTGTTAGTTTGAAAAATGGCTTGTGAGCACAGATGATAACAACCTAATCCACTGCCTACAGTACCTTGCCATTTCATCATCAAACTTTCTGCTTTAGACTGCTCCAAGTTATTTCCTAGCTCACATGTTCTAAAAACTGGTAAAGGGGCATATGCTAACACTTATCAGTACATCTTGGTCAGATAAATAAAGTAACAAGCTTTTTTGCTCTTTATCAACAATTAAACTGTGTTGAAAGTTCCTCCTTCATTCCCCCTGATAACTGCCAGGATACAACTGTTGAAGCTGTCTTGGTCTTTATGTCTTAAATCATTAGGCAGAGTTATCTTCATTAGGCATGTGGATGCAAAAATGGTCCCCACTTCATCTGTCTCAACTTCTATATGTGTTGGGGGAACAGTTTTCACACCAGTTGCAAATTTTAGGAAATTTTCTATATCTGAAAATTGAGTAAGATCAAATACAACATTACTCATGTTATTTTAGATGAAGGTAAAACAATGAAAAAAATCACTCTGGGATAGTATATGAAACGGAAAGACATCCATCAAACCCAGGGGGAGGGGGGATGAGGGGATAGTGGTATTGTATGGTGCTACCCTATGTGCTGCCCTATAGGGCATTGATTTTACCATCTTAAGGCTGGGTTAGGGTGTCTCTTGATACATTTTGTTTGAGATAGAGTAAAACTTTTTTTCTGGTGTAGGGTTAGGTTTTGCTCGCTTTTTGCTAAGGTTAAAAACTGAACGAAGACATCTTTAGGCAAATAATAATGAGATTGTGTACTGAAAACTGCTTGGTCTAGTCTGGGGAAGGGAATGTAAAATCCAAATTTTAGGTCTGGGGAAGGATGGGGGTTTTAAGGATTGCCGTGCACCCCCACCCATGTTGGGGTGGGCCATCAAATTGTATAATTGACTTAGCACATGTAGCTTTTTTAGCAATTGAACTCTCCATTGAATCCCAAGTTAGTGTTTGAATGTTTTGCATCATATTTGTTATACAATTAGCTTGCTTTTTTCCATTTAATAGAAAGTTTGTCAGCATTCTTTCAATATTTTCATCGACAAATGAAAATTTCATCATTTTCATTACGGCACAACCATCTAAAGTCTCATTTGCAAGAAAGACTTCTTCAAATTGTGAAGGGTTTTCTTGAATGGCTTTTAGTACATCTAGTGTAGTCAAACCTTTTGCAAAGTTATCCAGCACTGCTGTTCTTTTAATCAAAACATGATAAGCCACAATTGCCTCGGCAAGCATGAACTTGTTTTCAATCTGAGAAATGTTGTAGAACACATCACTGGTTATAGTAAAAGTAAATCTGCACTGGTAGGATAAGTTTTGTGCAAATTTAAACTCCTTATACTTGGTACAAGTGTTCACAAGTTGTTAATAATATAGAGCTTTCAACTCTGATTGAGAGTCTTGATCACTATGATGAGATAACATGTGATTTGGTGTTAAATATTTCAAATGTGGTGTAAATTGATAGTAACGTGGTGTAAATTAAGAAAAGAGGATATGAAGCTTTACTTACAGATGCTATACAAGTCTTGCCACTTTCTTGAAGCAGTGAGAGAAATTGTTCTGCATTGTTGATTTCTTCAAATTCTTCATTTGTTGAGGCTGACAGCAACTGGTGGGATAATTCGAAAAACTTAGGTTGACTTACTGGGTTTATTGTAAATTAAAAGCATTGAGTTTTTAGAAATGTTTTTTTTAAGAAATAAAGTATCATTAATAATAATAATAATAATAAGTTCACTTAATTTTGAGAGGAAAACATATCTCACAGAAATAAAAAATGTCATTTGGGGCAGCCATTCACTGAAACAGACTTTTGGCATAAAAGACAACTTTGATAGAAAGGTTACACTGAAGAATGTCATTCATCATCAGCAGTCACTGAAATGAGTTTTAGTTTGTACTATTTAAAATTATTTCTTAATTACATGTACCTTGTCAATCAAATCTCTCTTTTCCACATCATATACATCCAACACCGAGGTATATGCAGAAGCCCTCTCCACATCTCCAGTTGCCAATTAATAATAGTGAGATGGTGCCAGATGCGGAAATCCACCACACAGGTGCACAAGACTGTGACTTATGATTGTCCCAAGCATCTTGGGAATTCCAGCTCCAAGGCATTGTTGATTATATTTGAAAAGAAGCCTATTTGCAGGCCCTTCAAACATACTGAAGTGCTCACCAGAAATGAACTGCTCTTTCAACTGAGTGAAAAACTCTCTCTTCACCCCTCCAGTGTTAACAGCAGGCTGCCCAGTAAATTGTATTCGTAAAGGTCTTGTAGGATCAAACGATGGGCTTTTGTAGTATGCAATAGCATCATTGAGAATGTCATCTTCAGCTATTCTAAGTTTAAAGCGTGACCCGTGCATTTTTTTTAGCAAGTTTTTCCATTTTCTCATGAATGGAAGTTGATTTCAAGCACTCCTCATTCAACAATTCCTCAGCTTCTACAAAAGTAATAATATCAATTAAGTCAATTATTAATGTATATAATTAAACTAAACATGTAAATTATTTATCTTTTGTCTTTGAACTTTTTGACAAGTTTCAAGACATTTTGAAAATTACAACCTTTGTTCAGTGGAATCAGCATGACCCCAATTTGATTTCCAGATCAGCGAAGGTGATTTATATGAACTGAGTTTGTTTGAAGTATTGTTCTCTCCTTTGCCACAAGGGTTTTTCTCTATGTACTTTCCAGTTTTCCTCCCTCAAACATGTGTGAAAAACAGTAAATGTAGGAGTAATGAGTGTGAGAGAAAGTCTCCCAATAACTAAGGGCACAATGCCTGGATAAATAAACTTGATACTATTATGTAACAATATACTATACTGTTTATAGTTATGAATATTAATGTAAGTAAATGAGTGTCAAAAAAACAGCACTCAACCGTGCTGTTTAAATTTGTGGCAACTGATTGTGTGACTGCACTTTATCCTTGGAAACGGTGGACAGCTTTTTTCTCACCTTCATCTGATTCACTCATTCTCACGCATGCTTGAATCTTCAACACCATGTCTACTGCTTCCTCTGTTGTCAGTGTGGATGAAACAACCCTAGCAATTACATCTTCTTTTAGATCAGGAAACATGACTGATAAATGGCGCCTCATGGTTTGCGAATCATCACATGGGTAGGAATTTTGTCCAGGAACATCATGGTCAGATTGGCCAATGGATGATGATGGAGCTGGAATGTCACGGTCATGTTGTGCGATGGATGATGATGATGATGGCCCAGAAAGGTCATGGTCAGGTTCGGTGATGTCAACCTTTGCAATCTTTGCACTTTTTGGCTAAAAGAAAATTAACAGACAATGAGAATGCACATTTTATTTACATATTTATTACATTGGAACTGTGTGGGAAAAAGTGTAACCAAAACTAATATACATGTTTTGCATACAGTTGTATTTTTTTTAACAACTTTGGTCCTCAACAAAGTCAGTAATACATAATTACCCTTCTATCTTGTTTTTTTTTTTTTTTTTTTTTTTTTTGAGACTTTTGTTACTTGCATTAAACTGATGGGCAAACTAAATATTAAGGGTGTACTTAATAATAATACTTACTTGGGTCTGTAAAGAACCTTCATGATCTGCTAGATTATTCTCATTATATGGATCCAAATGTGCTTCATCATTTTCATCTTCTTCATGTTCCTGCAAAGAAAAAGGTACTTAGAACGTACAGTCTTTGCACAAAAAGAATTTACAATTCAACTGGTAAAGTCCAAAGGATTGAAAAAATTGTTGCTAGAATTACTTGCAGATGAACTAGAGAATTTCTATCAAATCCTTTCATCTGACTTCATCTGAGCATACAGCAAGAAATACAGCTGCGAATCATCTCTACTCCGTAGTATCAATGGACCTGTCTAAAGCATTTTACACCATTCCTCACAATCTTCTCATTGCCACTCGCAGCCTACTTCTCATTGCCACTGACAGCCTAATTTTTTTAAACTGCCAAAATTCCATTGCATTGTAGCAATCTACAATGCTCTGCAGTTTTCATTATTAAACTTCCTTGCAAGAAAATAGAAACAAATTGATAGAAATTTAAAAAGCATACAATTTTTCAAAAAATCAAAAAAAAGTTATATGAGGCTCAATGACAAAGTTGAAACTGAAACAAAGTTGAAATGTTAGTATGCATACCCATTACTAAAATTTTACCTTGCATAATACTAAACCTATGATCTTTTCTTAAATAATCTTTAATAAAGGGGAAAAAAATGAAACTTACTTCTTGAGGAATATGTATGTCGGCAAGTGCCCTTACATAAATTGGGCCATTTCCCGTTACATGTCTTAATACTTTTCCTCCCAGCTCTTGATTGGGTTGCAAGGTAATTGGTAGCAGTTCTGTTCCTATTGCTCTTACAAATTCAAAGCTGATGGTGTAGAGGAAAATGCATTTGTTATCTTTAAATAATAACTATCACAATTAAGTTAGAGCATGCTCACATTTGACCACAAGGAGCCAAAGCAATTAGCTGAATGTACAAATATTATTGTAAAAATACCAGAAACTACACTTTTCCCAACAAGGGAATCAATTTACTCTTCAGGGGATTGAATAAGAATACTATATATATATATATGTATCTACAAAGGGGAGATTTTTTGTAAAAATAGCCTGAGTATTAGGCCCTGTACTCAGGCTATTGTAAGGCCCATAATAAACTCTATAATAATTAATATTTAATAGAATATTTGATATATTCAATAAAATAAAGAAAATGTTTAATATGTAATAAAATATATGCCATTTTGATACATTAATTCCATATCTAAGAATTCTTGATTTCAACATTCAGGTTATGTTTGCTTAAGGATTGAGCTCCTTGTGATTGGACCCCTCCGCTGGAAATTTGATTTTGCTACAATCTTTGTATACCTTGTGCAAAGAACAGATAAAAAAGTTATAGGTATTGCATGTAATACTTCCCAGGAGGGGAAATGGCTGCCAAGCGGCGATGGGAAACTGAACAGATCTGTAAAACAATTCCAGGAGAAACCATCGACAGTCTTATGCGCATTTAGAAAACACGACAGAGTTGGAATAATAATGATGATTTGGGATTTTCAGCATACACTAAGTCCTTCTAATGTACAAATATCTTGACAAGCTTACATGACATTTCAAAAACTTTTCAGTTGCGTTTAACTTAAGTTTAATTGACTTTTCGCTGAAAAAAAATAACTTGCTCATTTACAAATAATTTGGATCGCATTATTTAGGTAATACTTACTCGATTTCTTCGCCATTCACAAATAGATAGTAGTGGAATAAACTAGAAACCTGGCTTCGAACTTCTGCCTCCGACCGGGTCTTATCTAGCTGCCAGGCGTCAACGTACATACCACTGGACACAAGTTTGGCCTTTGCCTTTCTCCGAGGGACCTCTGTCCACTCGGGAGAAGGCAATAGGCACACATCTTTGTAGATTAGATCCGCTTTCACAGCTGGCGATTTCCCTTTTCGAGAAGTAGTAAATTTTCCCTTGTTCGAACGTACGCTGTAGTTTTTTTTAGCGTTGAAATTATTGAAAAAGCTTCCACGTTGCATCGCCTGTCCTCACGGAATTTGAAAGCTGTTGTTCAACTCATCTCCTACCGTAGATGCTGACGATCCTGACAAAGTTGCGCGTGGTGGAAGGCCTGCAGAGTTGGGCAGAGCACTTAAGTTTGCCACGACAGCCCTGACAATCTCTTGGATTGTCCTAGAGTCCCCGGGCCTAGAGTCACCGTTATTATCCGCCATATTGACCAGTTGGAGTGAAGGGAAATCTTTTCGCGCCAAAATGCAGTTATGCAAACATCCCGTATGTACAGTGTAGCGAAACTCTTATCATTTCCGGTTCCTGTGTATTTTTACTTCCGCTTCCTTTCGAATTGAAATTTTGGTTTTTCGAATTCGAATATGTTACATGACGTGAAGTTCAAATTGAAGGTTTCATTTGGAATTTTGTGGAAGATTATGGTTGCATTGTTGACGATTAAGTGGCTTATTAGAGTGGAGAAGGTGAATTGAAGTTCAAATCATGTAATTTGCATTTTAGTTGGAATGGTGATTTGAACTTCAACATCCGCGATGTCGAGTTTTCCCTGAAACGTTTCAACTTGTTCAAAGTAACTTCAAGTTCGAATGATGCCATTTCGACTGCGTTCATTGCGATTTCAAATTCATATGACGAGATTTCGACATGGATAGTCTAATTTTTGAACTTCAAATTGTATTTTATTTTCAATTATTTTTGTCCGCAAATGTACGCCATACTCACCAGACAGTCCTCCCAGTGTATCATCTGTTTCAATAACTTCTTGTACATGTTCAATAGACTTGTGAACATAGTTACTCCAGTGTGCATAGGGATAATTGTTCAATAAAATGTTACCAAACTCTACGGCAACTTGCTTGTAATGATTCCATTCACTTGGATATTTAAGTTTTGGACTCCGACAGCTAAAAACTTTATGCATAAATTGAAGCTTAGATAGCAGCTCTGTGAAGTTGTTTTTCTTCTCCTCAGTGCCAAGAAGGAAAACTACTTTACTTTCATTTTGTGGATCCAAAAGAATTCTTGCATAGTTTCCTGGCTTCATTAAGCATGAATTAATTCCAATTGTTGCTTTGAAGTGTTGATCTACCTTATGAGAGGTATTTTGAATCAAGTGCTTTACATCTGCAGACTCCTCCCACTGGTTAACCCCAGCTACCTCCCTGATAAGTAATTTGTATACAAATGTCCGTAAATTGATCTTAGCATGTGTTGCATCCACCTTGTGCTCAGAATGTTCAATGTTAAGAATGGGGTGGGTTTTTACTCCCTTAGCAACTGCAGATAACTGTGAAGGATTCAGTTTATCAGGATTAAAATGTAGCAAGTCTGCTATTTGCTTGGTCTCCTCGAGTTTTCTAGAGATAACAAAGGTTCCAATATCAGACTTTGCAGTTTTCTGTTTTGCATAGCGCAAGTCACATAGGTATGATGACCCAGCACCCTGTAACCCTCCATCAGCTCGTGTTCGCTTCTCATCCACCATGGAATTAACAAATCGCAAAGAAAAGTTCCTCCATATGCTTCCTATTTGTATTCTCAGTATGCTTTTTGACATCTCCTGGCGCTCTGCTTCAACAGGGGCAACACATACAACCATTGCAGCTGTTTGATTGTCGTCACAGATTGACTCTATTAGACACCTGTTAGTCCGAACAGACCCTGGGGCCTCCTCCTCCCATATTGTTTTCATTTCTCCTCCATCTTCCATTTTTACATTCATTATACAAAATGCATACCTGAATGCCTTGTCAGAGAGACAACGATGCCCCTTTTCCTTGTACTGGGAGACATGTCCAAGCCCATCCCCACCATCCTTAATAAAAGCATGTAGGATAATGTCATTTGGCACCTCTGAGAGTTCCTCATTAAGTTCAGAAAGAGCTTTGGCAACAGCATCTTTATAACTCCAGCGAACATCAACAACATTAGGGGTTGGAAAATTTGGCAAACTATCTCGGAAGTCAGACATAAGGTTTATTGGTTCTTGCACACACTCTTTGTGTGAGTAAATAGCTTTGTCACCATCCAGAAGTTCATAATTGACATATGATGATCTCAACACTGTCCACTTGGTTTGGGGGCTTAAATACATATTGACCTTTGGAATTCAAGTAGTCAAACTGTTCCCTATATTGATTTTTTGTTTGAAGCAAGTCAACTCTGCTGGCAAGGCATTCATCAGCAGTAAGAATATAATCTGTCTGTTGCAACCATAAATATTCTATTTTGTTTGCAAGCTCCTTCTTGTCATTATCATACAGTGTAGTTGCAAGCATTGAAAACAGAACATCCTCAGTGTTTTCATTATTTAAGTCACAAAATTCATCAAGCATCGAAAACATTGGTAACAGTCGTCTGCGCTTGGCGTACTGACGAGAGATGTCATACAGTTTTACTTTATTGTAGGACCCCCTTTTCTTATGTTTTATGTGAGAAAACTTACAGTGAGCCTCATGTTCAGTCAGTAGTGAAGCCTTTATTACTTCAGTACATCCATTGCAAGAATATTTACATTTCACTGTGAGCAACTCAAAAACTTCAAGCATTTGTTTCTTCAAAGGAGAAATGTCTTCTAAGTCAGTGACTTGCCTGCAGGAGGGGCAAACATCACGAAAAGTCAGCCACTGCCTTATGCAAGGTTCACAAAATACATGGCGACACCCGGCAAGAATCACTGCATTAGATGGAACGTCCAGACAAACAGTACACTGGAAAATTTGCGCAAAATCTCTTTCAACAAATCTAAGTGAATGCCAGTTAGTTCGACATTGTTTAAACTCTTAGTGTCTGTTCTTGGTTCATGATCAATGACAGTCTTTTGTGAACTTGATGAAGGCCCTGCTTCAGAAGGTCTAACTTCAAATAGCTGTTTTCTAGCTTTCTTTCCCTCTGATATGCTCTTGTTTTCCTCCAAAGCTACCCCCAACCTCTTCCTGGGACTCTGTCTTTGTGAGTGGGAGCATATGTAGCGAGTTCCTTCGCTTACAAGATATTCATTATGTGTTTTAAAAACGCAATATTTACCTTGATCACCGGGAAACTTTGGATGATTTTTGTTCTTACTTTTTTTAAACCTTTGTATTTTCGCAACACAGCGACGGCACAAAAATGGTGGATGGATGAATGAATGAATTGTCCGAAGCAATATCCAGGTTGTCAATCTCAAGAATTTCCTTTGCAAATTTAGCAGCAGGTTGAGGATTGTGTCCGTCATTTGAATTTTGATCAAAAGGATTTCCACATCTTCGACAAAATGACTTGATTCTCTCTTTATGAAAGTCTTCTTCACCCTGCGGGGCGGCCATGTGTCCAAGCAGTCCTTGAATACCCACTTTTCAAAGACGATTTTGAGTTTGTTCACGCGTGTGCACACAACAATAAAGGCACTCTTGAGCTTCGTTATTGACTGGAAAATGCCCTCGAAGCAAAGATTTAAACCGGAAAAAACCGGAAAAAAATGAAAACTTGACTTCTTTGTACCTCAACTCAACTCTTCGAGGGACTCTGACTTTGATTTTCCTAAAGACGAAGCAAAATGCCCGAATAAAGCAGCCACGAAGAATGAAATTTGGTTTCCAAAATCGACCCCGCTGAAGCACATGGTGCCCACTGCGCATGTGTCAGACTAGTGGATTTTCTTCCAGACGTTCCGCGCATCAGTGCGCCCGTTGAATTCAACGAATTTGGCGGGGACTTTTTGGACTGAAAGGAAACTGGGCATTAATAATTAGCATATTTGAAATTTAATAAGAACTTTTCATAGTGCTAGCGATTCCCTAACTACGAACGTAATGCGAAATTATTAAACGGGAACAACACTTTAAATTAACTGAAAGCCAGCCGAAAAACAATAAATACATGAGAGGTTATTTTGCACATTACATAACACGAAAGTTTCGTATAGATGAGCAAGAAAATTCGAAAAGCGCTAGTTACAATCATTTACAATGGTTTCTTTCTCCTTTCAAAACTTCATATTGTTTGTTTAAACTAAGACAGCCATTAAAACACTAAATGATAACTAGACATTTTGGCGATGCCTAAACATAGAAAAAATTAAGCAAACCTTGGAGGACAAGAAGTGCTTTTCATGGATGAATTCTCCGCCATAATTTTCGGCACAGCGAAAAAGTAAACAAACAGTGAGGATTCGTTTTCAACGCAATAATTGAGTTACATGGATTTATGTCGATAAATCAACATTTGTTAGTATTAATCATGGTTTCTGTTCACTTTTTTCTTACCTTAAGAAAACTTACTATCAAAAAATAGACTGTCATTTCGACGAAACGGGACTAGCTGCAGTTTGTCGTCGGGAACAATAAGACGAGAGGCCAGAACGGTAACCAGGGGCAACCAAAGTTAATTATGCGGACTTGCACTTGCGGTCTACGTCCGCGTCATAGATTTGTCCGGTTCTTAAGGTCCCTATTTCCTCTGTAGGGGTCGATCCTGAAAATAAAAAAGAATGCAGTTAACTGGAACTCAAACACGTTCAACATTGCAACCAAGATGTTATTGAAATTTTTTTTATTTTTTATTATATTTTATTTATTTAATATGTGTGTTTATTTCCTATAAAACTACAATTACACAATGCATACTTACTATTACACTAATAATACTAAAATAAACTTACTTACACACTTATGCAGTAACCATAGCATAACAATTACACAGTGCCTACTTACTAGTGCACAGTACCTTAAAAGTAACAATATAATGCAACGACAATTATAATAGTACTAAACTTAACTTATAGAAGCACAGAGCCAGAGGTTATCGCCCATTTCCTAGTAAAATTTTTCTATTGTATTGTTTTTAATACATATATATTTCTCTGTCTCATATTTATTTTTGACCTTTAGCTTGAAACCATTTATATTTGGAAGCGTTTCAGACCTTCTACAATCCCAAAGATATACCTTAGCAATCAGTAACAAATAATTGAGTAAGGGGCATTTAGAGGTTATTATTCCTATCAATATGTCTGGCAGAGTAAGGTGAAAGAATTCCTTTGTTAAAGAATAGTAATAGGATTCGAACTGTTTCCATTCTTCTTTTCAGAAAATTGCTAATGCCCCTTACATTTAACGAGACTAGCTTACATGTATCAACACCCATCTCTTAATAATATCTGATATCAAGAAATCGCAAATACCAGCGAGATTGTAGAAGAATTCAATGACGAACAAGCTGAACTGCATAATACCAACTAGTGCGAACGTAAGAAAATAATGTGTTGATGAATGAGTTGCGCTTCACCAGGCTACTGTGTTCATTTACAAAGGTGAACAACATACCTTTATTGTACACCGCAAAAAAACAAACGCCAAACCTTACACTAAATAAAAGACAAAATAACGAATAATCTTTGGACAACGAATGAAAAACTCTACCGCATTTTACACAAAGCACACACGGAATCATGGAGAAAAAGAAAATTGAATTCCTTACCTCATATTCCAGAATAAACCGTTCTGAAACCATATCCATCAACGACACCCTCTGTAGTCTTCGAGCTTTAGCTCCTTCACCGTAATTATAAAAAAAATAAAATACAAATGGAAAACGCATCTATGAATTGTTAATTTGGATTAAAAAAAAAGACTCCCTGCAAGAATACACTAACACGCATTAAATTATGCAATCAAACATCGTACTACAAAAAGTTTTACATTTTAACATATTTGCCATCGATATACAGTTTGTCGGGCTCAGATTTGCTAAAATTTGCACGCTTGCCCTCTTGTCTAGCCTTCTTTAATTTGTTCATTTGGGCTTTTCTCAAATCATGTAGTTCTTTTGGAAAATCTTCGTGGCCGCATTTAAAAACACGTTCCCTGTGCGAGAATCTCAGAAAACACGCTATGATGGTTCGGCTGCCATTTCCATTTTCGCTCTTCGGTTTGCCAATCCTGTTTACTCGCTGGAATTCCATATCCTTGGCGTCTTCAATCCCAAGGACATTTTCCATAAAGTTAGCTAAGACTTCTTTCGTGTCCTCCTTCGATGTTGCATTCTGTTGACCGCACGATTTTGGTAATTCAGGAATTCCTTCGAACTTTAAATTCTCTTTGCGGCTGTACGCTTCGAGATACAGAATTTGTTTACGACAGGCACTAATTTCATCTTTTCTTTCTTCCACCCTCTCCTGAAGGTCTTTAATGTGGCTGTCTACAAATTGGAATTGCTCTCTACATTTGTGAATTTTTGATCCAGACTCTTCTGCTTATCTTTAATTGAAACAACATCTATTTCGAGAGAGGAAACTTTGCCTTGTAAACCTTTGACAGTTTTGTTCAATTCCTCCATCTTCGAGTCTAGTTTGCTGAGCCTTTCTAAAATTAGGTCCAGTTTCTTTGTAACACCTTCTGTGAGATTCAGAGCCGCCATTACTTGGTCTTCGTCACCTGAGTTCTTCGAGTCAGGAGAGTACGAATGTCTCAACTTTTTTCCTTCAGGTGACGATTCTTCTGAGCTGCTAGATGTAGCTAGATTTCTCGATTTTCTTTTTAGGGTTATATAAACACTGCAAACTTCCATAGACGACCAAACAAATCTACGATGAGCGAAGCGTTGCGAAACACGTCCTACATCTCCAACAGTCTCCCCAGTCTCCTTATTAAAAAAAAATGTTATTGAAATGCTACATGTACTTACCCTACTTGTTGCCCTGCGCTCTTGATAACCATAAGAGTGCAGGGCCTCCCGCCTCCCTTCCTCGGCGTACCTCTCCTCTCTCCTAGTGACTTGCTCCATTTCCACCCTTTCTCCATCGTATTCTACCACCACCTCTCCCCTCTCGATATCCCTGCTAGTGAATGCACAAATTCCGGCATTTCGGGGATTGCTTGGTACTGAATGTTAGGTATCATAAAGAAATAGCACAAAGAATAAGCTGTTTCAAGAGATGCTATTCCAAGAAAGAATCATTCTCTCTTGACTATTCTTTGCCATATACAAAGACCTTAGAACAGATCACTTAAGTTCTTTTATATCTTAATTTGCTATTTTTCATATCAAACTCTTTCCGCTTCGCGACGAACATTTGTTTTTCCCGGTTCCAGGCGGACACGGTCGCTAACTGCACGTAATGCATATACTCAACGCAGCGGATTTTCAAAATGGGGGACAGGCCAGAGAGAGAAATAAAAGAACCAAAGTGGTTTTACAACGAATTCTCGGCATACACCCCCGTTAAAAAGGCTAATCCACAGAGAAAAGATACAAAGCTGTACGATATTGAAGTTACGGAGGTTGATAAAGCCAACAAAAGATTGAAAATCCACTACGTTGGGTACAGCTCACTCTTCGATGAGTGGAGACCTTTCGGGGACAATGAAGGATCTGAATATTTCCCGTTTGTTTGTAAAGAAAAGCTGTTTATTACATCGGAAAATTCCCTTGTGGATAGAACACAAACATTTCACGGTCAACTTTTTCGTGAAATAAAGAAAAAGCTTTGGTCTGGGCGGCGAGAGGACCCTGAAATCAGCATAGACCTCAATGTTGATCAGGATGTTTTTATGGAAGGTCTTGGAAGTGTTTTTCCTGGCATTATCCAAAGAGGAAAAATGGTTTACCAAGTAAAGTCAAATAGGATGTTTGATCCCTTTCTTGGAATGAAGTGGGACGAAAGAATTTGAAATCCAGCTGGAGATTTTGCTTATGTAATTTCAGGAACAATAAAGTATTGGCCGGGACAAAGAAATCCAATTACCGAATACAAAATCATTGGGGAGCAGTATATTAAATGAGGGTCGTACAGGGGGGAGTCTCTCGCACGGTTCACGAACAGAAAAAACAGCAAATCACGGATCACGGCTATCAAAGTTTCATTTTCCCGAATCACGAAAATAATCAAGTACGGTACTCGTTGTAATAACCTTCTCTGACGGTAGAAAGAGTGTTTGAAGAAAGCAAAATCGTTAAAGGCTAAGTAAAGGCTGCTTTTGAAGTAAAATAGCATCGCCCGTGTTTGAAGCTGTATTTTACCTGAAGTATTTAAAATTTACTTGTCTTGAAAGTTAACTTTGTACTACCATCGTCATCCTGACATAGTCGCCGTTTTCTCTTGTTCTTCTTTTAACGTTGATTACTTATTAACCTATAGAAAAGTCGGTCCGTGTCTTTCAGAACGGTCCTTGATGTCGTTTAATAAGAAGTACCGTAAATAAATTCCTACCTTGTAATGAAGATGTATTTCCTGATAGTAGCGGCCTCTCCTCGTCCCATTGCTCTTGTGAATTTATCGCAAAGGCCTTACTGCCATCTTTTCCCTTTTTGAGACGACAAAATTTAAGTTCAACACAGGAGCCGAGGCCACGTTTCTCAGCCTCTGCCTTTAATACGGCAAATTCCGCGAACTTTTTAGTAAACGCTGCCAAAGATGAATGTTCATCTGTAATTGAAAAGCGAACTCATTCCTTTCCAAGAAAATTAAGCGAGCCGACAGACTTTGGGTCAACGTAAAATACAGTACATTCGACCCTCATCATACTATATGTACTCGTACCCTCCATATCTCCGATGTTTCGATGTTTTGGATCACTGTCCTTTGACCTCCAGTGACAGGTGACCATAGGCATAGGAATAGACATCTGATCCATGATAGGCTTTCAAAGCACGTGAATTTGCACAATGGATTACTTCAATTAAAGCGAAGTCTGTTACTTGTCACATTTGATATTTTCAGTCTTAAAATAATTCTTCCGGAACACTCGCATCTCAAAATCACGCCAAATAGAGTGGTGAAATCACGAACATCGGTTAATAATTCAAGTTCTTCACGGGTCACGCAAAACCTTCAGATCACGGATCACGAAGAATAATTTATTAAATTCACGTTTCACGGAAAATAACATCAGCCAATCACGCATCACGGGAATACCCCTGTACGACCCTCTTAAATCTGAAATTGAAAACAGCTATTTTATTACATTTCAGTTTGTGAGAGGTGACGGTAACAGGAACAACTACCAAGCAAACAAGTAAAATATCAAGCCATTGTTTTGTAACTGTGCCATGGAACTAATTCTGGATTTTTAGTCATGGCCAGATCATTTAACACTTGTAGCATCTTGTAACTATCAACTTGTTTATGTTCGTCAGACTGGAACTTTTTATGATTGCCTTGTTGATGTTTTTGGTTAAGATTTCAACAGTTAAGTATAATGTTAGTGACGCTGGCATCTGGGCATTCATTTGCCATCTTCCTTCACAAGATGTGCACAGCAAATCCCAGCTGTACAATGTTTACACGGTGATGTGCCTGTCTTAATGCTGTGGCCTTGTTTTGAACAGTTACTACATTCATAATTGTTCTTAGCCCTCTCATAGCCCGCTGCTTCCAAGAACTAAATCCTGTTTGTCTTCAGAAAGAGTTGTTTAAGTGCATCAATTTCTTTGTGATTTGAGGATCTGAAAACGTCTTTAGAAGCTCTATCGTTGTATTTTTCCAAACCTTGTTGAGTGTAATGTGCAATGTTTTGATACAGTGACAGGAATTCAGGAACATGGCAATGTAGTGCATGCATGTAAGGGGTCACATCCTTTGCTTGGTACACATTAAGAAAGAGTCCAAACCATGATTTGACATCTCCTTGCAGTTGAAGAATGTCATCCTCCGATGTAAAATCTAGTTTCAAATCACCAATGAACTCCATAAATTTTTGCCACATCACTTGTATTTCTTTGTTTTGCCTGCACCGAGGAAGAAGCGTAGGAATGTTAATATTCTGAAACAGTTTCAATTTTTCTGGTCCCGTAAGATCTCTATATTCCAGCTTTTTACTCTCTTTATTAATTCTAAAATTTAAAGAGATTCCAATGCTTTTGACGAATTCCTCATAACTTGCCATGTGTTTTTGCTTATCTCTTGGGAAGCTGTCAGAGAAAGTTTTCTTTTTTTCGATAGCATCACTTCTTCTCAACTCTCTTATGAGCAGGTCAATTAAAACATCTGAGATCCTCAGGAAAAGATGTAATTTATCTATAATAACATGATCCATTGGTATAAAATCGAATAATGGTCTTGCCTTATAGCTGAATTTTTTTCCGATTGAAAACCTTGCTATTTCGTCGATAGTTCTGGCACCAAATGTGGGGTCACTGATCGACCACTTTTTGCTTTTGTCCCATCGTTGCTGCTTGGGACACTTGCACCACACGCAAGCATAATCCTCATTTGCCCTACCTAGTCCACAGACCAGCGCTAAAAATTTCCAGTCACCACCTAAAAAGTACTCAATTTGATAGGTGCAATTATTTACACTTATCTCCTTTAAGTTTGACATTTCCATTCGAAGGTCAGCCAGGCTCTCTCTTGTATTATCATATGTCTCTGTAGTTTTTATAAGAGCAAGTACATAGTTACCTTTCTCACCCATTGCCAGTTCCTTTTCATTCAGAATAGTAAAAGTGAAATTGACAACTGTAAGCCTCTTTCCGATATTTGTTCCATCACCACTAAGTTTGATCTTAATAGTTTCCCCACCTTTGATCTCTCCAGTTTGCTGAAGCTTCACAATGTGTTCTTGCAAACTGTCAGAAAATCCTAACTGAACACCCTCAGTATCTCCTGGAGTTGGTTTCAGGTTCCACTTACTGTTTAGTTCCTTGATTCGCTTCTTGATGGAATAGGTATTGGGAACACCATTGGCTTTCATGGCAATTTCATGCCAGGCCTCATTTGAAATATTGAACTTATCTTTCAGATACAGCCACATATTTATGTTATCAAGGTCATCATTAGTAAGTTCCTTTGGGTGAATGCCAGTTCTCCCTCCCCAACAAGATTGAAAGTTTCATATTGATTAGTGTCAGTGTTAAGTACTTCAATTTTGGTAGCAATAAAATTGTACATCCCAAGAAAGGACAGTGTAGTTTGGCATTCCTCCTTCAACTGGTTTTTTATTCTCTTCTGGTGGTGCTTGGAATAATCATGAAACTTCTTGTTAGAGGGGCCTCTTCCTTTCTTCCCATTTTTGATCACTTTTTTGGCCAATTGCACAAATTTTTTCTTGTAGAAGGCCCGTTTCTTCTCAGCTTTCTCGAGAGCTTCTTGGGCTTTTTTATCAACTTGCAATCGCTGTGCCTTTTCCTGTACTAGTGATTCCTCTAAAACTCTTTTCTCTCCCCTTAACTTGGTGTTCTCATTTTTTAGCTGAACCACATCAACCTCGTTATAATACACCTTAAATGAATAGCAAGGACCAGTTCTCAACTTTGTGACAAGCGCATTTAATTGCCTTCCACCACACTTACTTGCTTTCTTGACCGCTTTCTCTAGGCAGAATATTTTTTTCCGGAAAACTTCTAAAATGCTGCTATTTATTATTATGCCGTGTATGCCTGATTGATCGAACAGTTTGTTGATGATGGCCAAGAGAACCGACTAATAATTTTCTCCGTCTTCCTTTTCACTTTCCTTTGAGACTGTATAGATTAGAAGGCTGCAACGAAATTTCAAAGGACGAATCTTATCAAACAAAAAAACCGCAAACTAGCCAAAAAAAGGTATTTATTTTGCTAAACAAACACTTCACATGTCTTTCTTGTTTATCGCGAATGTAAATGACGGAATATTAGTCCCCAAAGCTTTTTCCAAGCTTATTCCTCTCCTAATGAACAACCATTTGACGATCTCAAATCTGCTTTTTGTTCAACAATTTACATATCAAAACAAAGGAAATTTGTTCCTCTTTTTGATTTTGCGGTACATTTTCAATTTGCACTTGCGCAAAAGAAATATCGCCCAAGATTCCTTGCTCGGTCGTGTTTTGATCAGAGATGCCTTGCAATTTTGACCAAACCGCTCAAGGAAAAGGTAAAAATGACGACGGAAAAACTTAACTCTAAAGTTAGAAAACTACTCAGATAGAAAGTAATAATATTATAGTTTAATATTCCAGCGGTACATTGAGTATTTCTTTAGCAGAGAATCGGCACGATGAAAAAATATCCGAAAATCGCACTCGATGTGAGTGGAGCGCGGAAAGGGGCGTGGTCGCAAAATTAATTTAAGACTATTTGTACCCCATGAGTTTCATATGGTGCTAGTTTCTGATCCACTGACATGAATCCGAATATTTTTGAAACCACATATTTTGTTTTCAAGAACAGGCAATAATTGCATCCCAACGAAACAAGTGAACCCCCTAATTCACTCACTCGAAGCTGCATCCTTTTTTAACTGTTCTCCAGTTTTAGTTTAAGACTGCTTCAGGTCTGGGTAAAACAATTATCATGATTTCAATTAAACATGTCCGGATTAGTGTGTAAGGGGCTTTGTATTATGCCAAAAAAAAACAAAATTACCTGGATGGGAGGGAGAGGCGGTGGGTTTATCCTCATAAAGTTTGCTATCCTTTCCAACATCTGTCATAGATTTGTCCGGTGCTTAAGGTCCCTATTGCCTCTGTAGGGGTCGATCTTTAAAATAAAAAAGAATGCAGTTAACTGTTATTTTGTAGCAGGAACTCAAACACGTTCAACGTTGCAACCAAGATGTTATTGAAATGCTACATGTACTTACACTACTTGTTGCCTTGCCCTCTTGATAACCATAAGAGTGCAGGGCCTCCCTTCCTCGGTGTACCTCTCCTCTCTCCTAACGGCTTCCTCCATTTCCACCCTTTCTCCATCGTATTCTACCACCACCTCTCCCCTCTCGATATCCCTGCTAGTGAATGCACAAATTCCGGCATTTCGGGGATTATACAGGCAATAATTGCATCCCAACGAAACAAGTGAACCCCCTAATTCCCTCACTCGAAGCTGGATCCTTTTTTAACTGTTCTCCAATTATCATGATTTCAATTAAACATGTCTGGATTAGTGTGTAAGGGCTTTGTATTATGCCAAAAAAAAAACAAAATTACCTTGATGGGAGGGAGAGGCGGTGGGTTTATCCTCATAAAGTTTGCAATCCTTTCCAACATCTGTCTTCCGGCAAATTCAGAACTGGGCTGTCTCCTGGGGGCTCTTTTGATGGAAAGTCCCTCGTATCCCCTTTGTCCTCCTCTCTTCGTTTTTCTCACATCGTCCGACCCCAAACCCAAGATGACCTTATTAGGTTGCTGTAAATAGGAAAATAAAAGAATCACTTAGTCAATGCTGAAATGCAGTTTGCGTGCATAGCCGTGATACAGTAACTCATAACTTTTGCCATTCCCTGAGCAAAAAAATTAACCGTAGAATGAAACAGATTGTCATTTAATGTGTTACAAATATTGTTTTTTTTATAGGTTAACTATATTGTGCGCATTGCGGATAATTATTTTAAACGATCCAGTCCCCAGCAATAGGGAATAGGAATCTATGTAGAAATTAAAATGATAAAATTGTCATTAAAATGCTATTGCCCCTGCACACGATATTTCCCTTCAGTGGTGCCGTAAATGGTCTAAGTCATACATGAGAATGCCAAAAATTTTAAACGTCATCCTCATGCTTTGTGTTTTTTTACATGGTTATGCATACGGTTTTCTTTTTTCCAAGTTTTGGCTGTTACAATGAAAACCTCAGGCTATTGCAAAGAAAACCTCAGGCTGAACGGTATTCACAAACAAATGAAATGAAATCGAACATAGTAAGAGCCGATTTCGAAAAAAAATTCAACCACGTGGTATCGACAACAGCCAGTGTCGGTGAACTTTTCTCCACAGAGTGTCAGACTAATATGATTTTGAAATCAAAACAGTTTAACACACCACAGAAAATGTTAGTCATGCAACCATTCATCAAACAATTTTATTACTTGGTTGCTTGTTTTCGTTTTTGAGAATGGAAAAAGACAGGGAAAGACGTTACTTGAAATACCTTTTCGCATTGTGTATGACATTTTGTTTTGAACAAACGATCGGTGGCCAAAGTGAGTCCCTGCTTATAGGTAA